CACGTAGGTGTGATATTCGGATGTGCATGTTAATTAATTGATTATGGTTAATTGAACATGCATGGAAAACATTGTTTAGACCCTTTACAATGAAGATCTGTAAAGTTAATCGGATTTTTACAACATTATTGTTGAAATACACAGTCCTGAAAAAGGGACGTTTCTTTTTTTGCTGAGTATACATACTTTTTTGAGAAAGACAGTCCCTGGAGCAGTTAGGGGGTGGGGGGGTGTTACTCAAGGGCCCAATGCTGAAATCACTCTGCTTGCACTGGGATTTGCACTAGTGACCTTCCCATCACAGCCAGAGCGTCCCGACCCACTGAGCCACACACTGTGACCGGCGCAATAGTCAAAACGCTCCCTCTTTTTTCATTCGGTAAGTCCTATTTCGTGCTGAGCGGCACCGCCGGCGCTTCCTGTCCCACGGCGCCCGCTTTACCCGTATTTTGAACCTCTCCCTGATGCCCACGCGCATGGCGAGCGTGGAGCCAGGCAGCAGCGGAAGGCACAAACATTCCCCGTACTGATGGGCGAGACTCAGGTCCAGGCAGCAGGGAATGACAGCGCCGAGGAGGCCTTAAAAAAGCAGCGGTGGTTGAATCACAGGGCACTGCGATTTAAAGGGCCACTGCACCCCAAAACTGAAAAAAAGATACGTTTTAGAGGAGCTTTAGCATTAGCGCCCTGGCGGTATCTTCTGCGCAGTGATACGATTGGTGTGTAAAGGACAATAGTTCCTACATTAAACTGCTTACTACAAAGTCTGTGGATTATATTCAGTAACCGGGTCATGATTTCTGGTAAGAGATATGGCTGTGGAATTTTTCAAATATATATTTTTGTTTGGCTGCTTTAATCACCACAGAAAGAATGCCATTGAGTCCCGTTATATTTGAGAGAAGACCGACATTTCTACGGCCGATATCTACAAAACTAGGAAACTCCCAGCAGAACAACTTACATGGACAGATAACACTACAAGCCCCTCTAAAACATATTTTCACTTTTGGGGTGAACTGCCCCTTTAAGAAGTGCACAAAAAACACAAAAATAACCTCCCCCATAAGTAGCTATAAGTAGCTTTAGATTAGCATTACAGTAGTACAGTGGCGCAATAATAATGGTAACATGAGGTTTTCTACTGAAAATATTTGGTGCCATTCAAGATTTGAAGCCCTACAGTCAGATACGAAAGAGTATTAATGCAAAGAAGATAATATAACAATATATTTTTGTAGATGAAACGCGAGTCGGGATTCGTGCTGAGCCTTCGTGTACGACCGGTCAGCCAGGGATCGGAGTCGCTTACACGTAGTCGTGTCCCCGCACACATTGAAGAGGCCCGTACTCCATCCTCCCCCTGTCTGTGTTATGGTAGTGACCGTAGTCGTGGTAACGCCAAGGCCGGGCTGTTCAATCACGGGGTGTCCCAACCAGCCGTCGGGGGCCATTTGGTCCATTCCGGTCTGAGGAGGTGTTAAGTCTTCGGCCGCAGCATAGGCTGCGAGCTGTCCTTCAGGACTAGTAAAAATGTCAATTAGCTCAGACAGCAGTTCCCTCAGTTAGCAACTATTTGCAAATATGACGGCAAAAAAAAAATTCATTTTGTTACTAATGCACACATTTACGACCAAATCTTGCATGCCTGAGAATGATGCACGTCGGAGTGAGAGAGATCTTTGAAGCACAATGTATAAAATGTTGTTAAACATGTTCACTTCCTGAAGGATGAAGGAAACTAAGTTCGAAAGGCTGGCATGAAGCCGTAACCATGCCTAGGTTACTGTGATTTTCCCTTGGCGACCGTTTCGCTTAACAACCTGGTCATTGAAATGGAACTTGGTGTCTAAACAGGGAGAGGATATATTATACAATATTAAACCTAAGGTCATGCGTGACACATAATGTATAGCGTATAAAATCTATGCCTTACTCCAGCATAATTAATTAATTGAAATTAATTTTCTGGTAGCTACGTGAAAAATTCTTAAATCATACATTTAGTATTCCAAATATGTTCGACTGAATATGTAAGTAAAGGCCTGCGGTCGAAATGACCATTTCTGAGCCAAGTATCCTTTATGATTTATTCTATTTGACAAATAAACTCGTTTCCCGATACAAAAAAAAAAACTTACGCCCTTTCAGTCGCAGAATCTTCCGCGTCCAGCATGTTCTTTGTCCGTGGGCTTTGAAGAGGAAGAGTGAGTCTTCAAAGGCAACAGAGGCTTGGGACGGGGGGGTGGGGGACGTGCTTGCACAGATAGTGAAGTAACCGGTGCTGGCTGCTGCAGATAACGTGCTCATCCGCCATGGGGGGGGGGGAGCTTGGGTCTCTGTATCTGCTATTACGCCCTGGTTGGCTCCCTCTCTCACAGCCCTGGAAGGGAGGAACCTCCCAGCTGCCCTTGTGGGGTCCCATCCAGGGGCGATTCCAGGATTTTTTAAGGTAGAGAGCATAAGCAAGGCCATAATTCATACAGTGGGGCCAACTTTTACGTTAACCAATGATATGTTTTGAATCTGTGACTGACAGGGATGGGAGTACTCTAGGGGCCAATCAGCTTTCAGCTGAGGCCAGTGACCCCACCCCCTATATACATCCCTGGTCCCATCCTGCATTTCTTCTCACAAACCTAACCATTCAGGACCCATCGCCTCGGTCGCCATGACAGCGATACTATTGTCACGTGTTGCCATGTCTGCATGACATCGCCGTAACTTTACTGTCACGCACAACTTGTAAGATACCTGGGATAATGGGTTCAGAAGAATGATGGAATTCGCGGTGGATGTCCCAGGATGCACAGGGCGGGGGGGAGGAGGGGTCGGGCAATAGGACGGGATGCCAGGCCATCGCAGGCAGAGTCTCACACGCTATGGACAGACATGCACGATACAGCAATTCGTCTGAGCGGTATGCTTTCAGGCGACCGGAGGAAAAAATCAAAAACCATGCCAATAAAACGAGTATCTGGAGAAAACCGGCATGAATCATACTGCCAACCCTGAGAGTGTGAGGCCACAGTGGTACCCGGTGACCCACCTTAACGACAATAACGGAAAAACGTTAATAACATTAACAGCGACGCCTCCTCCATCTTAAATTCTCCACGGGCTGATCTACAGCAGCGCCGCACTGGCTGCTCCTGTGCGTCTGTTCTGCACTGTCTGCCTGCACGTCGGCGTTTTTAAATAAACTGCAAACCCACAAACAGGCTCCCATAAGCCGCCGACCCCCCTTCCGTCGGCAGCAAAGCGCCGCGGGGAGCAGAGCTCGCCCGTATCCACGGCAGCGCCTCGCTCACTGAGCTTTTTGCACGCTCTCGGGCTCCTGTGTTTAGCCTGTGAGGGGCGCCTGCTTGATCTCACGTACGCCTGTGGTTGTCTGTCATTCGCCATTTCCTCTTTCAGCGTGCTCGGTGCAAATAAAACGCACGGCTTTTTCTGGGGAACTGAAGTAATGACAAGTAGCAGTCAGGCCTTGAATGTAATCAACGCCTGACTCCGCTCTTAGTTCTTCAAAAAAATGACACCTGTCATTTTGCATTATGGATGTAGCTGCGAATATTTTGTAGACCTAGCCTTTAGCAGCAGAAGGAACATCTCAGCTCTGAGCAAAACAGCAGCAGCGTATTCAAACTGAAGAAAGAGACAGAGATTAATAGTAAACACCTTTATGTTGACAATAGCCTGCGGGGAGACATGTGGACTGGCTACCACGTCTCTTGTTGGCTCTGCCTTATAGCTTCCCATCAGCTCCTAGACAAACAACCAGCCCTTGCTCCTGTTCTTCCTCTAGGTCTTTACTGATGCGACGGTGCTCAAGCTGAGATCGCGTTTTCGAATCGAGAAGTCGCAACTTCAGTTCCTGGCACGTCGCATTCTATGCGTGGAGTATTTTTCGGGGGGTACTTTGCAGGAGATGCACATCGTGAAGGGTAGGCCCTGGTGGGGGGAGGAGCAGTTCAGGCAGCAAAAGCAAACTGGGGGAGGGGGGGGACACTTCTCTTGCTGGTAATACTCGAAAGTTGACATTCAGTATCTGAAAGACTCTCCTCTGACAGTGTGAGGACTGCCTATCTTCAGCTCCTCAGAAAGTCCTTTGTGTCTTCTTCCTAAATGTCAATCTTTGGGGGGTGGGGGGGGACACTGGCTAGTGGATGGTTAATCGTGCTGCTACACGAGTTGTTTGAACATACCCCCCACCCCAAAACAAAATAATCCAGAAAGATCCAGAAAAGGAATGATTAAGGCTTAACCGCCCCCACCTCGACAATTTTTACCTGGTAACGCCACTGCTCCACACATGAAACTCCCACCCACCCAAAACTCTTACACCAACTCTCCAATTTCAAAAACACTATTTCAATAAGATATACTGTAGGTGTGAAGTGAAAAAATACACACTCCATCTTCATGTCATGTCACAGCAGAAATCAGGCCTGTTTGTGCCTTACATCCAGTTTGTTTTATCACTTTGCCACGACATTATACTCCGACATGAACATGACCAACATCCGTTCCATTAGATTTTTGACAAACTCTAGAGGAGACTATTGAAAGAAATCAATTGGACAAAGAATATAAGCTAGCGGGAGGAACAAGCACATCAGATGCAGCTGAAAGTCTTGTTTCCTCACCACTAAAAGCAGAGAATCTCACGTCAAACGTGAGACCGGCCTTTGAAACAGGCTGACGACTCTGATAAAGGCTTTGTTGATGATTACCTTCGATCTGAAAAACACCATGAATTTCCCTGTGCGACAATTCTCCTTTACTTCATCATATTTTTCTGTCACGGACTCAGTACCAATGTAATCAAGCTAGTGGGGAAAATAAAAGATTTATTGCCAGTGTGTATGTTTTCCATCCGGAGACTCCGCTGCTCGAGTGTATACATGGGACCGTAAATATTAGACAGAAAAATGTAATGTTCTGGGCAATTTTTTCACAGCTTCTTATTAAACGTAGGGTTGCTGTAAGAACAGTCCTGGTGTACCGCGGTATGGCTCAGGAAAATGCACTAAATGTGAACACAAAAAGAATTTGTAAACACACAGAGCCAGAGGTGGCCTCAAACCTACATCCCTGAATGTGTGGAGCCCACAAAGACATCCTCTGTAGACAAGGCACCAGGCATACGTAGCCGTGTAGACCGTTCTTTGGGTAGGACAGAGCCACGTTACATAGATATGGGAGGAAGAGGCAGGGATTTTATTTTAGGATGAGAGTGCAGATGGCTGTAATACAAGTAGGAGAAAGGTACAAAAAGAGAGAAACCAAATCCCCAGGGCCTTCTGACTCACAGAAAGACAATACCCCAGGCACGTCCTGCCAGAAGCGTCAGATTTATTACCTGAATATACGTGTAGAGTAAAAAAATATGTCAAAAGTGTATTTTAACATTAATGTTAAATGTCTTGCGAAACACCTCTATTATCGTGTGATATTTTCATATTTTTTAGTCCCATACTATATTTCCGCCGGGAAAACAGCCGACTTTTTGTAGTTTCATTGCCACCGATACCGACACATCAGTAGCTCCCGTATTATAGGTTATATTCCTAGGGTAATTCAAACAATCCAACTATATTCCTGGGTCAAGATCTTAATAACAGGGATATTGTATTCAGAGCATTACTGAAAGGACACCGCGACATTTACGCTTAGTGGGAAAACATAAATCATTCGATGAAGTGACGTCTTGCTGCCGCTTAGTGTTTGAGAGAGGTACAGCAGGCCCTGAAAGCCCGTCAGTCCATCCATCCGTCACTGGGGCTTCTGAACATTTGTCACGGTCGGGGTTGTGGGCGAAAAGCAGCATAGAGAACAATAAAGGCAGGTACCAATTCACCGCAGGATATACATCCGCACACAAGTTTTAATTTTTATTTACTAAAACACTTGCTTTATCGTTACGGTCTGCTTATAATTAACTGCTCGCAGAATCTGGTATCCACACGTCGTAACATTTGACCTTGCTCTTGGGAGTAGCTACGTAGTAAAACGACGCCCTCGAAATGAATTTATGACTTCGGCTCTGCTTGGGAGGCTAGAGTGGGGTCTTGGGCCATAGTGACAACTGGGTTTGATCGCTTTGCTGGGTTTTTTAAAATACACCTGTTAAAACACTGACTTCGTCCCAGCACTGACACCTGCTGTAAAGTAATGGTCATGACACGTAGAAAACCAAATATACCAAAAAATGTATACCAGCGTTCATTTAACGTCTCCAAATTAAGACCAACGTTATTTTCCACTTGTTATTTTCAATGTAATTGTTCACGACTGAAATTCCATGCAATTCCATTCAATGCCACAATTTATTATGTCCGTCCTATACGTTACATGTAAGCATTTTATGTACATTTTTTAATTATAACGGAACTTAAATATACAACAATATAGCATAGAAATTAAACAGTATTTATTGTTAATGTTACAGGGCGGAGTGCACTTGTACAATAAATTCTATGCACATAGCCAAGCTGGATTCAAACAACGCAACGACAACTAACGAGTCATTTAATCCAAGTCACACTTGCTGATTGTTGCGCTGCAACACGTGAGTTCCTTGTCATTGGGTTAATTTTCTGCACCTACTATTGCCCATTATTACTGGTTGATCTAAAGTTAATCGAAAAACATAGTCTCCCTTAGTAGAGCATAATATACATAATCATCTGTATTATGCTAATTAGCCATCCGTTTTTCGCTCGCGTTCCATTTGCGCTCCCCGATTGGTCGTTTTCCTCGCAGCCTCCTTGGACGGGTGCGCTGATTGGCTTTTAATATGGCTCGTGCTGCTGCGCGAGTTGTTTGGACGTAAAGCAGTTTGTGGCACATGGGCCGAAGCGACGCTCAGCACTGGCCATGATAGTACATCATAATACCATGTGTACAGCTGTTAATCAGTGGAGGAAAAGTCTCTAGGATGATCATAGACGATGTGGAAGCTCTGAAGTCGTGGATGGCCAAACTTCTGGAGCCAATGTGAGTACTGATTTGTAGTAATAGTTTCGCTAGCTCTGGCATCAGAGATAAAGCAAACCGCTGTTGGTGCATGTTACTATGTGTCAAGCAGCGACGCTGCCTCCTTATGGAATTTCCTGGCATTTAAGTAAGGAATTGCGCGATTGATGCTTTGTGAAGAAGGCCGCTTCATATCAGGTAACGTGTTTGTGTGCCTCATATACGTTTGTTTTGTTAAGATCCATAAACTGCTCTCAGTATCACTAACATTCATTCACTTTAGGAAGGGCTTCCTCGGCTTGTTTTATAGGGGTTAAAATTTTACACGATAAAGAGCGGCAGATTACTTGAACACGTTTGCATGAAGTAATTCATCAGCCGTCCAAACTTTGGGTATTTTAAAACCGCAGACATAAAGACAACTTGTAAATCTGGGAACTGTCTCTTAATGTTTTAAGGATCTTTTGCCTATTACTCGGGATGTTTAATTCAGGTCTCTGGGTTTTTACCCTGTCAAACATTCCTATCAAATTGACAACAGAGCAATGCATTCTTGCTTGAAATGCTGACTGTTGTTGTGTTTTGTTTTTCTTAAACACTTTTACAGATGTGATGCGGATCCTATTGCCCTGGCCAACTATGTGGTTGCTTTGGTTAAAAAAGACAAACCAGAAATAGACCTGAAAGTCCTTTGTGCTAATCAGTTGGATGTCTTTCTGGAGAAAGGTGACAAAGCAGTCACCCTGGCACTCTCAGTATTCCTATTTAATTCCCTTTTTTGAGGCTATTTAAATAGCTGAACTCTATTATTCAGTTTTATTCCCTTTTCAGAGACCACAGGGTTTGTGGAAAAGCTCTTTCGGTGTCTAATCACCAAAGTCTATTTGGAAGGTCTGGATAAAGACACAAAGGGAACTTCCAAAGTGGAGGGTAAATTTGCCGTGGAAAATTTTGAGGACAAAAAAGAGGTATGGCACTTATTCCTCATAGCTGAGAGCAAAGAAGATGAGCGTGACCTCGCAGTGATTCTCTTCCATCCAGTTTTAACTCTTCTTCCTTCTGTTCTCAGACTGCAGTTGCTGAGGATGATGGAGATGACAGGAGCAGGCGGAGTCCTTTGCGAGCCAGGCTGGATTTAAGCGAATCAAGGCGAGTCCCATTCTTTGTCCACTTCGTTTCTCCCCTCCACTGCTTATTAATTAGAGGCAGTTCCAGATGTTTTTACAAAAGCCAGTATAAAACACCTGTGACATGCATGTGCTCGATTTTTGCATGATTTTCTAAAGAGAGCCCTTGGACCATCTGGTTGGTGGGTGGGGGGGGGTGGGACTTTCATTTTGCAGGTGCTCAGGCACCTCCCCCCCCCCCCCCCGCCTGCTTATAAAGCACCTTTATTTAGGTTATTATTAACTTTGTAGATACAGGAAGTACCCAGATTACAAACGATGTTCGTTCCCTAAGGTTATCTTTTAAGCCGAATGTGTAGGTAATTTGGAAATATAATACAGTACCTAGACATAATGATGATGATAAATATGGACCAATAATAAAAGTAATTAAATACATACTGTACTGTATCTTGATCTGAACATGGTTTTTCTGAACGAAGTAATGCATGTGTTTGTTATTACGGACCATTGTATTTTACCCAAATTTTTAATATAATAGGCTTTATGGCAGTTCGTTTTGTAAGTAGGAGTCGTCCGGAAGTTGGACGTTCTTAACCTGGGGACTGCCTGTAATGTCTTTTGTTACTGTTTATGCATTATTTGTTTTTACATTGTGTTTTGTGCTTTAGGTTAGAGAAACGTTTACAATTACTATAGTTCACCGTATATAGAACTAGCTGCCTGCATAATGTGGACACTCGATTTAACTGATAATTAATGGCATAATGAATTCTCAATGTGTCAACTCTAGGCAAGTCATCACCACAGCTCTTATGGGGATGGATGGATATGCTATGATGGATATCTATTACACATCCCGTTTTTTAACATAATAAATTGATCGTCAGAATAGCAGGTCAAATGAATGTGTGTTACTGTGGAAGGGTGTGTGAAGGATAAAAGCTGTAATGGGCACAAGACTAGTGTTTCGTAATGATGGCCAAAGGAAGCTTCATGAACCGTTTCCTGACCCCACTAGATGGCGCTCTCTGTTCAAAAATGGACTCAAAGCATGCTTAATAGTAATCCAAGCGCACCATCTAGTACAGTCAAAAATACAGCAAATGGTTCATGAAGCTTCCATTGGCCAGCACTAGCGTTTCCCGACCCGTTACTCGGGGACCAGTAGGCAAAAAGGTGGACTGTCTGGCAGGAAGCTGGGAGGGAGCAAAAACATGGGCCACCTCTGGGTCTCCAAGGACCGGGTTGGGGAAACGAGAGATTCCCTGCCTGCGCAGGGCTCACAGCATCCGGAGGCTGGAGGGCCGCCGGAGCAGGGACGTGGTGCGCCACGGGAGGAGTGCTGACTCGTACAGGGAGCGCCGTGACCAGCGTGCGGGCAGCAGCCATGGCCGTAGCCGCAGCAGGAGCCAGGACAGGGAAAGGACGTGGAACAGAGGTGAGCCACTGAACTTTAATCATTTTTGGTTTTATATTTATAGAACTTGAGATGTTGACATTAAGGCAGTACAGTTCCAGCTGAAATGTTTAGTGATGGACAAAATGTCACCTCATAAACCATTTACTGAATTCTTTAACGCCACTAGATGGTGCTCTTGGTTTGCTTTGGGGCATGCTTTGTGCCCTTTTTTTGAACAAAGCACACCATCTAGTGGGGTCATAAAATATAGCAAATGGTTCATGAAGCGTGGTTTTGTCCATCACTAGCTACGTGCAATAATGTAACTGATGTAAAGCCCCAGGGGGTTGTGGTATATGTAGTTTTTTTTTTATGTTTGGCCATGAGTCCTTTTGAAAAACATGGCTGGTGTGTGTGAATCAGAGTATAGGTGCAAGCAGGATGCGGAGAAGAAAGCAGCAGAGAGCTCCAGACCTGCTCTTGCCCCCGCTGCCCTGTACTGCGGTGCCCTGGCCCAGCGCTCCTCCGAGAGGGACTCCATCCCCGGCTCTGCTACTCTAGTACCCATTCACTTGCCGGACAGCACCACTGAGAGCTGCTCCCATTACTGCTCTGGTCGCGGAGAGGGAACCCCGTTCATCAGGAGCATGGCACTCGAGCACTGCTGTCACGACTATGACGGTGAGCACCCACTGCTGTCACGACTATGACGGTGAGCACCCACTGCTGTCACGACTATGACGGTGAGCACCCACTGCTGTCACGACTATGACGGTGAGCACCCACTGCTGTCACGACTATGATGGTGAGCACCCACTGCTGGCGGCTTGCGTTTCACCTGTGTGTGTTTTTTTTTTTTTTTTTAAATCGAATTTGTTCATGATTTGTGCCATATTTAGCTACTGGAGTCAGATCATCAAAGATGGTTTGATATGATTGTCACTCATGTGCCGCTATCTCAGCATAAGGCTGAACATCACATCAGTTGTGCCTTGTTGCCATTTGGTGTCTTGAATCCATCTCCTTTCTAGAACGGGGAGTCTGTGTGCGTGGTGACCTGTGTCCCTTCAACCACGGCATTGATCCCTCGATGGCGGGTGATGTCACCTTGCCGAGAACGATTCCTCTCCCACCCCTGCCACCCCCGCCCATCGTGCCACCCCCGCCCATCGTGCCACCCCCCCATGCCCACGCGGCCCCACCTTGTGCCAGGATGCCTGCCCACTCTCACTTTCAGCCACAACCTCCTGGCATCTTCCCAGTGGCTAGTAGGTTTATGCTTGTTCTGTTTTTTTTTTTTTTTTGTTTTGTTTTAATCATCTCAGCATTGTGCTGTCGTTTTTCTTTGACCTGCGCTAGAACACCACTTCATTCTGCACGTGACTTTGTATTCGACTGAATCAATACAGACTGCCATCTTCCGACAGATAAGTACAACCCAGACGGGTACAACCCTGGGGTTCCAAGCACCACACCGGCACCCCAGAATTGCCAGTTCATCCCCCGCATCCAGACTCTGAGACCAAACCTCATTGGACTGACCTCTGGAGATGTGGATGTGCACAACACTCGAGGTCTCGGCGTTCTTCAGCTTTGCATTTTTGTTAGTTTATGCACTTTTGGTGTAACTTGTTTCATTAATCAAACCATTTCATGAATCAAAACTTTGAGGAACTGACATCAGTCTAAAACGGTGATCCTGTGTTTACACGCATGCTGTATCTGTCCTCAGTGATCTGATATCAAGTATTTTGTTGGAAATGCGAATTCTGAACTCTTCCCAATAATAACGAAATGCAGTCCAGTCTTCCTTGGAAATTATTCGTATCTATTCTTTCTTGGAGAACACCTCGGAATAGGCTGGTTTTCCCGGCATAGATCCTAGGCAGACACGCTTTGCCATATGTTCCTCCAGTGATGTTCCACACCCCCCTACAGCCATTTTTAGTACGATGTTGGTATCATGTCATTTTTGGGGGCTCTGCTGCTGTCAAACGGCATTATAATGAACAGTGTCCGTCCTCTAGGTGCCAACATCGTGATCCAGACGGATCCGTTTGTGTCAGCAATACCCAGCAACACTGTAAGGTACGGTGGTGAACATGAGTGCAGGAAGAGGCACCCAGGGGCCAATGATGGGGCCCCATGCACCAATCCTTGTGCAAACAGGTAGTTGCAGAGGAGGCCTTACTTAATGCAGAGTATCTACTAGCTACCTGCAGGATTACATTGAAATAGTGTTTTTATTTGACTATTATTTTTGTTGTGTATAATAGTCCAGATAGTTTGCAGTTTTCTGTCTGGAAATTAACCTTTTTGTTAAAATATTTGTAATAAATATGAATTTTTAATTTTTTTTTGGCTTAAACTGAGTATAAACTTCCAATTCGCTGACGAAGAACTAAACAGTTATTGAAAAAGCTTTTTTTTTCCTGTCATGTTAGAATTTTAATAAAGGTTCAAGTGTCCCTGAATTGTTGTAATACATTTGTGTTTATGACAAACGATTTTTTATTTATTTTTTTTTGTTCGATTTCATGGTGCCTAATGTTGCTACATGGTTTTTTTTTCTTTTTCCCCCCCTAGACAAAACTACAGCTATCAGCGCAAGGCAAACGTTCAAAAGAGGGGTGACTATGGCGACACTAAACTGGAGGTTCGCAAGATCCCCAGGGATTTGAACAACATCACGAAACTAAACGGGCACTTCAGCAAGTTTGGTACCATTACCAGTATTCAGGTTTGTTTGTGTGTGTTGCAGGGGGGGTGGGGGGGAGTGGGGGTCTTTAAGATGGTAGTTAAGATTAAGACACTCATCGCAAGGGGAAATTCTTGTGCATGCAGCCGTAAATGCATAGAGAACATTCGGACATGCGTCTAGTGCAAAACACGCAAAGTGCAAAGAGAGTACGAATATCACAAACAAATGAGAGTGCACAAATCGAACGTCGTGGAAAAACACAGGATTTTAGAATATTTAGGTTAAATACATTTTTGCTTGTAGTATCAAAATTCAGATTTTAAATTTTATATAAAAATTCTCGTTTTTCTATTTTAAACTAAGTTTTTGTTTTTTTAATCGTCGGTGGGCCCTGCCTTGTGCCCGTAGGCTCCAGACCCCCAGTGACCATGAATAAAACAAGCGGTTTCAGAAAATGGATGGATAGTTGGTGGCCCGTGAGACTGTCTGACGAGCCCCGGCCTGCCCCCCACAGGTCAAGTTGGGTAGTGATGTGGAGGGGGCACTCATCCAGTACGCGACCAACGCGGAGGCCCGGCGAGCTATCTCCAGCACAGAGGCGGTGCTCAACAACCGCTTCATCAAGGTATACTGGCACCATGACAACAGGAAGCAGCTATGGCAGCCAGGGCAGCCAGGGCAGCCGGAGCAGCCGGGGCAGGAGGCACGGGGTCCCAGCAAGCCGCTGGGCCAGAAACCAGCCAACATTAGCAAGGTGATGAGTGTGTGTAGATGCCAGGGCAAATGCACGCATACAGTCACACACAGGTGATTTTACTGAAGGTGTATGAGGTGCAATTGCACCCCCTACTGGTGTGACGAAAATACTATTTGAACATTAAGTTGAATAACTTTTTTTGTGAAGTTTATATTTGAAAATGTGGCTTGTCAGTCATATCCACGTTTAATAATGTATTGCAGTTTAGTTATACATGTATTTTTCTGGGTGAATGACTGCTTGGCTTCTCGCACCTTGCACCCCCTGGGAGAAGAGACCCAGGGTGCTGTAGATGAGGCGGACCCAGGTTTACTATCCCACCTGTAGTAGTAATTTATTAACTAATGTTTCGCAGTTCAGCTGTTAGGTTGTAAAAAGCCTCCTGACTCTCATCTACCTGAAACTGAACTGTCACATAGACTGGAATTGATTAGAAGTTTATCGATCATTCAGTTTGATGTTTAAAATGTGGCAACATTCACTACTGTGTCTGTCAGGGTTTCCTAATCTGGTCCTCAGGGACCCGCAGACAGTCCCATGTTTTTGCTCCCTCACAGCTCTCAGTAGGGAGCAAAAATGTGGACTGTCTAAGGGGGCCCAAGAACCGGGTTGGGAAACACTGGTCTATATTAGCCTATGACTATGAATGCTGCTGGTTTGTGCCACTTTAGGTCCCCACGAACACCCAGGTGGCGCCCTCCAGCCGCCTGGTCATCAAGGGGACGGCAAAGTCGTTCGGGAAGACGGCCAAAGGTCTCGATGCTCCAGAGGCTGTTAAGAAGAAGCAGGTGGGATTAGGGCTCTGGCTTGCAGACGATTCACCGAATGTCAGTGCATGCCCTAATGAACAGCAAGACTCTAGCAGTGAAGCGGTCAGTTTATTTAGAATGAGAAAGATTTAGTAAGTGTTTTTTCAGCACCACAGTTTCAGGGCTAGACATAAGCCGCGGCACCGCGGCCAATGGCCGTCGTGCCTTTCAAAATTGGCCGCACGCCTCCTCAAAATTGAAGTACCTTAAGGCCAAGATTGGCCTGCCTTTAATGTTTGTCTGGTCGTATGCCCCCTTTTTACCGAAAGTAACGTTCATTACACAAAAGACTTGCGCACGACACGGTCCACTTTACCTCGTCAACAATCGATGCATCTGTACTGAACCCGAACCCAACCTTCGATACGAGAAACGAGGTCGACCCGCACATCTCGTAATTCCCAACTACTGAATGAACCGCAATGAATTCTGGACTAATACGATCATGTACATGTTCGTCGCATGATTGGCTGGTACGGTATGTATCGTCCAGCCTACTATGGAGCCACAGCAATGACAATGGTGCATCATCGGGGGTTACGTTTTTGATTGGAAAAGCCATCCGACGGTTTCCGAATAACAGATAGGTGTCCTCTTCGGTAATCATCGTGTAGTTGTCGTCTGCTGCTTATGCTGTCACCATGCCTCGCAAAGATCGAGAACGTAAAAGAAAGCAAGCTGAACTCGCGGCTACTGCCGCAAAATGTTGCAAATTATCTACTTTGTTCAGGTAAGTGTCAGATGGTGTTGTAAAAAAACATTTGCCGAGGCAGAGCAGATTTGACTCAGAGAAGTACCAAGCTCTGCTGGGAGGATATAGGACTGGTAGCGTGCAGTGTGCAAAAAACGAACGTCAAGTCAATTGTCATGTACACTAAAAGAATACGGGTGTTCTGAGCAAACAAATACAAAAATATTGACGGCTCCTTTATTGTTGGATTTTGTTTTTTGAAATAAAGCTATATATATATCTATAAATATAGATATTCTGTCTCAAATCGAAGGTCGTATTGCGTAGGTTGTCTAAACTTGGTAATTACAGTAATTGGTAATTAGTGACTCAGTATTGACCCAATTCCTTTTTGCAAAGTTTCTGCTTTTTTGAAAATAAAAAAATGCATCCTTTATGGAAATAAAATTCCTCCACAAGGCCCGAGGTGTCCAGATTTTGGCCTTGTGCCCAGGCTTAATGGCCTTGTGCCCTAGAAAAAATATGAATAGCCAAGGCCAAAGTGGCTGTGCCCTCCTAAATCCTTATGTCTAGCCCTGCAGTTTCAATGCAAAGATCCATTTGTTCAAAAAGTCATGCTCCTGTTAGTGTTCCAGGAACACCTCTGCTGGCCTCCCCCAGGGTTTCCTAACCCAGTCCTCAGGGACCCCCAGAAAGTCCCATGTTTTTGCTCCCACTCAGCTCTCAGTAGGGAGCAAAAATGTGGACTGTCTGGCAGGGAGCTGGGTGGGAGCAAAAACATGTCTAAGGGGGCCCAAGGACTGGGTTGGGAAACACTGGCGTGGCCCACACTGCTCTGCTCCCTGAATGCGCTTAGTGTTACACTTTATGGATTTGAATATATGTCTCATTTGGCGCTTGCTTTGTTTGGAAGGTTTTTGTCTCGTACCTCCGATACTGCTTACACTCATCCCTTGGTACGGCTCAGCCTAGCTGCACTTACGCACAGTTGACTTCTTGACAGCTATGGATGGGGGAAAAATATCGATTTTATGATTAATCACTGCGTGTTTATGTGCAGTTTTGCTGGTTTGTATGTCACTTTAGTTAAAGGCCTCTGCTAAATAAAACCTAAATGTTTTTGTAGGTTGTGTCATAATTAGGACACAATCCTGTTGACGAGAATAACGGAACTTGTCACTTTGGTCCCCAGGAGGTGCTAAAACTGCAGCAGGATGTGATGAAAAGGAAGCAGGAAATGCTGGAGATGCAGATACAATGTCAGAAGGTGGGTAGGCAGTTCCTGCTCTGGTCCACGCTCCAATTCCATCTCGACGTCCCGCCTGTATGTATGTACGGCGTGAAAGTGATTCCTTTGCAGGCTTTGCTAAACAAGCTGGAAAAGTTGAAGGGGGTGGAACTGGAAGAACGGGCCGGTATCATGAAGATGCTGAAGGAGCTAACGGAGAAGATCTCTAAGCTGAAGGAAGAGATGAAGCCAGCGCCCAGAGTTGCGTTCCGAGCTGTTGAGTCCAAGTCCAAAATGGATGTGAGACTTGCTAGTTTGGGTTCCCATTCTCCTGCACGGGTGTCATCATTGGTCTCCACACAGCCATCTGTTTTCGCTCCCTGACACATCAAGCACATCTGAACCATTAGCAATGCTGTATTTTCGGAACCCACAAGATAGCGCACTCCGTTCAAAAAAGCACTGAAAGCATGTCGCGAAGTAAACCAAGGGCACCATCTAGTGGGGTCAAAAAATACAGCAAATGGTTCATGAAGCTCAATTTGGTCATCACTACTAAGCATAGACCAGGAGTGAGCAGTCTTATCCGCAAAGGGCCGGTGTGTAAGATTGCCCACCCCTGGCATAGACCAACACAAACCCCCCAAAGTGTCACTTATTATGTTAATTTTCGCTGATTTTGCAAAGGAAGAAAGACACATTCTCTTGTTTAAGCGTTTATTTGCCCAGGAGGTACTGAATCACTATGGTTTCCGGTCAGACACAGAAGGAGCTGCTTGATGCTGAGCTGGACTTCCATAAGAAGCTGGCGTCCGGGGAGGACACCACGGACCTCCAGCAGAAACTGAACCAGCTGCAGGTGGAGGTGAGAGCAGCCCAGAAGATTAAACTTTGTAAAACTTGAAAGTGGAAAGGAAGTATTTGGCATATTTATGGTGTTAATTGTAATTTCTAATCTGTAATATTAGCTGTGCTGCTATGTGAGACTCCGCCAAGCTGACTCGGGTATCTGGCGTTTAAATCTTTATTTCTGCGGGCCACCGCAGTTGTGCAGGTACTTTGATTTCTGCTTTTAGAGATGGACAAAATGACGCGTCATGAACCGGTTGCTGTATTTGTTTGACCCCACTAGATGGTGCTCTCTGTTAAAAAAAAAAAAAAAAAAGAGCACGGAGCATGCCCAAAAGCAAACCAAGGGCACCATCTGGTGGGGTCAGAAAATACAGCCGATTTGTTCATGAAGTTAGTGTCCATCACTAACTGCTTTCCGTTAGAAGCTGACATTGTCGAAGGCAACAGGTGGCACCCCAAACCATCATGGCCGCCGTGGGCTCGGTTATGTTTATGTGATTGTTTTGTGTACACTGCCAGCTACGTTAACCGTGAATGACACCTTAGATGTGACCTGTAAAACATTATACAGTGATCCCCCACCTATCGCGGAAGTTACGTTCCAGGCCCATCAACGATAGGTGAAAATCCCCGATATAGAAAGACAATATAAATAACCATTTTTTTTTTTATAGTTTTAAGCCTTAAAATACCCCTCTCACACGCTTTAAACATATGTAAACTTATTAAAATAACAAATATGTGGATGTCGGGCTATGGATATGAGTAAAATAATAATAATAATAATAATAATAATAATAATAATAATAATAATAATAATATGTAATGTATATGTGTGTGATTCCATTTTAACGACGGCTTTATTCCCAGGAGCTGCCCCCCTCTTTCCTGTTTGATTAAAGGAAAGTGATACGGTGGCTCTTACATCAAGAAGGGTGAATAGAATATATCGTACCATCCATTCGCTCAAGCCATAATGGCGAGTAACGTCCGCGTAACGCTTTCCTTCCCGACGCATATCCAGGAGTTTTACCTTCTCCTGAATGGTCAAGGTCTTCCTCTGGCGCTTAGGCTCACTACTGCCAGAAGGCTTACAAGATGCCGGACGCTTGGAGCCATCGTTGGGCTTAAAACAAAACGAAAACAGTCGGACCACAAGCAAGGTGTGCGATACGCAGAGAACCGTGACGCATAGGGGAAAAAACGTAATATAGCGGGGGCACGATAGCGGAACCGCGATATAGCGGGGGATCACTGTATACAGTTTGAGCTTCGCCCTGACAGCCATGCTTTTCCCACACAAAAGGTCTCCCGTTTAGGACTGATCCCCAAAGCACACAGGAGAGCGGCAGCCCTCTGGGGGCGCGGAGGCCTGAACCGTATGGTGGTAGATCATCGGCCGCGAGCACTTGCAGTCCTGGGGGTGACCGGGGAGGAGAAGGCCGACCTAATGGCTCACTTTGCGGTAGATCCGCTCTCATTCTCACTCTTTCTCACTCTCATTCTCCAACTGTCCATCCAGCAGAGCACTATCACCTTCGGTGTGATTCCCTATCATGTGACTTTGCAAAGCCCAGTCACTGCAAGGGGTGCTGTGATGTTGGCTGACCCTGCACTGCAACCCCCCCAAGCTGGGGCTGAAGTGTAAATGTCTGTCTGTCTCATGGAGAGCAAGATGGGACAGGTGGAAGCAAAAACAGTTTTTCCACAGGGATGAATTAAGTATATTGTTCTTTTCTGTTCTGGGTCTCTGTCTGCATGGGTAATCCGTAGTTTGGTTCACCCAGAATTGTGACGAGTAAATGGTTATACAATAAAGTGAACTTGGCCTCCTGCTTTAGCAAGCTGCTGAGTTGAACTTTTTTTAACGGATGTCTCAAAGCCGAAATGCAATTTTATTTTATTTTTGTCTTTAGAGATTTGGGGAGATCGTGGAACTTCAGGAACAGGAGCCACCCGGCATTGTGGTGACATTCAGGACCAGGGCTGAAGCAGAGAAAGTATGTGCTACAAATTCCAGACTGCTTTTCATTTCTGAAATTCTAGAATTATTATTGAATGTGCTTTAGAACCTGCATTCCCCCACCCCCCTCATATTCCTTATTTTTAACAGCAGTGAATATGCTCTGAATTATATCATCCCCTGTTATAAGGAAATGTAGACAAAACCGGCCAGTATTGTTAACACGGTATTTATAACTAATTTTATGTTTGATGGTGGTTATCTGAGTAGCTTTTAGAACAGGCATTATGAGAGCGGATGTGGTCTGGAATGGCACGAGAAAAACAGAGCTTTGAAATCAGGCGGCGAACCAAGGCTCACAGTTCAAAGACCGGCTGCTGCAAATCGCGTGGTACAGACCCAAAGCTGCATCTGTGCCCGGTGCGGAGGAGGAGAAGGAGTCCTCACAGGGGGAGGTGAAGTCCTCACAGGAGGAGGTGAGCTGTTGCACCTTGGCATCTCCTTATTTACGTTTAATTATTTACTGGACGCTTTTTATCCAAATCGAGTAACAATTGAGAGAGCGTGGTCAGCGAGTCCCAGGAGCGATTGCCAGTTAAGCACCTTGATCAGGGGCCCGATGGTGACATCACTCTGCTCACCGTGGGATTTGAACCAAACACCATCTGATCACCGGTACTAATACAGTTTCAGAGAGCATTTTGGTGACCTGTTGATTGGGATGGATTAATGCATAGACTATGGCCTAGGGCTCAGGCAAATATCAGGGTCAACCCCACCTCAGAAAAATTGCAGCACCTGAATGTCCATGTTCATGTCAGCTCAGGTCCCCAGATAAATTTATCTGCCCCTGCTTATAGCTCCATGCTAGCTGTTCTGATTGGTCATTTGTCCTCTCTGTGTTGGTTGTTCAGATTACGCTGTCAGAAGGTGCCACAATTAAGCTGCAGCAGTGTTTGTAAATTTGTCTCTCTGTCCCGAGCTGACAGAGTTTATCTGAGGTTAAGGAGAATTTTATTTTGTCATTCCCGCAGAAGCCCCATAAATCTCCCCTGCTTGCGGAGGAAGAGGGGGATGAAGACGAAGAGGATGAATATGAGAGCCGTTCGTGGAGAAGATGAAGGGGGGGGGGGGAAATACCAATAATATTACTTTATTTGTGAAAAGGGCATTTTATCACTTTTTGTGATTTTTGAACACTTTTCTTTTCTTAAAATGGAAGTTTGTGTCCCACCCCCCCGTTCTTGAAACCTGTGTGGCTGATTTAATCTCTTGCCACCAGTGTGTCTGGTTGCAGCTGAAGGTTTGCGCTACGTTAACAGACACATGACCTTCGATAGGAAATGAGAACTCGTACCTGAGAAGGAGGCCCAGCGCGTCTTCCCGGGATCGAATGGGTCACAGAAACTAGATTCCTGCATATATGCTGGTTTCGTTTGAAGATGACAGAATTGCAGTGGAGCTGGGAAGAGGGCGGTCAAAAACCGTGTATAAGGACTTTTTTAAATTCATATTTTTTATAAATGTTAAGGTGGCACTGCACATCAGATCTTGGGTGTTAAGTGTGTGCCATAAGTTTGTGTGCTTGTCAAGTGGTGCATCTTGGGAAAAATTTTGTTTTCTGTAGCCCTGTATTTCATGTATATGTATGTAATATTTTTCTTCTGTTTATGATTTATTTATTTGGCTGTAGAGGACTACTGGACTAGAATCCATATTAATGACACTGCTTCTTAGGTGTTTAAATAATCAGTAGGTATTCACTGGCGTTTCCTACAAATTCTGTACCTGGCATAATTTCAGTTTTTTCTTCAGCAGACCATTGTGTTTTATTACAGCAATTTTTTTTTTGTAGCCAGATTTATCAATTTACTCTTTTACTGCATTCTGCCAATCTTTGTGTTAGAATTTAAAAGGCTTGTGTTTTAAGCAAGCAAAAAAAAAGTGCCTATTAAGTTATCAGGTGTCAATTTTTCCATCCCAGTGAAAGCATTCTGTTGTATTGGTTTGTCTGATGCCTGATTATTAATGTTTGATTTATTGCATGACAACTTCATTAAAACTTGCACTTAAACTGTGATTTAATGGTTAACTAGTCTTTTTTCTAACACAATCTGGACAGTTTTTTTTATTTCAGCTTTTGCGCTCTGGGCATAGGGCTAATTTGTTAAATACCTAAAAAATTATATGTACTTGTGTGATCTTCAGAGGTTTTAATGCCTTTTACGTTTTGCCTCTAACAAAGCTTTGTCCTGACACCCTTCAAGTGTAAGGCATAGTTCAGTTCGTTATTGTCTTTTCTGGTAAATTCTGAAAGGTGTGACTTTATACGTTTCACAGATAGTAATTGAAGGTGAAATCTGAGAGCGTTCATATCCATAAAGGTAAGAATTACCTCAACAGCTGTCAAACGCGTTTTTATTATGAATTGTTCTTTATTATCTAGGGCTGCGTATTTAATTGAGGTGGTACTGAAACTGCTTCAAAATAATCTGGTTTCATTTGCTGTGTTTGGCTTTCAAATCCTATCCTTTTCACTGTTAAAATGACGATTATAATCATGTTTCAATTCCAATTCCAATTCGTTGTTTTAATTCACGAGTAACTAAGACCCAAACAAGTTTATGCATGCACACAGAAGTGACTTATCACAATGAATTCTGGTTTTCTGCACAGCTGAACCCTCCACACGAAGCATTTTCTGCTTGGACACAGTCAGCAGCCTAATCCATCTGATTAATAAGGGAACAGAACAAGGTAAGGGATGCCTACCACATACCTGCTGAATTATTCACTGTCTGGGGAACCAGAGAACTGACTTGGATCAGATGGAACAAACCTGTCACTGGCGTATCTGTCTTCTAGAGCACAGAATCTGCCTGCGCAGGTGCTTAAGTGAAGTCGGGAGCCTTTTAGAGTTGAAATGTGCTCTAGATGTTTGACCTGTAGCCTCAGTCATCTCGTCAAACACTGACTGGACGATGGTAGCTTTGCGAAATTCCACCTTCGACTCTCTTTTCTGCAAACCGACATCGCAACAGCAGAGTACACATGAAATCTTAAAAATCGTTTGATTTTTAAAATGACTTCGTAGCTTGCAAACTTTAATCGCGATCATTCGTAAAATTAGAAATTAAATCAATAATCTTCAGCATGTGTTCCACTTGGTATTATCACAATAATTCAGTGTGTGTCTGTGTCTCTCCTTTTTTTTCCTTTCACTCATTTTCATCCCCTTTTAAAGAAAAATATTTCCCAGCTAATGGTATAGTCCATTATATAGTAAATTCTTGTTTTGAACATCGACCTTGCTTCTAAAATTTTATAGATTAATCTATAGCTCTCGGTCATGCTATTCAGTTTCCTGATCTTTCTCCGCAAGTTAATGTATCTGCTTGCATATGTTTAAGCTGTTTTGCAAGCTGGTTCAAATCCTTAACTGACGCTTCATCTTTTGGACGCAGCTCGTAAAAAAATAAATAAATAAAATAAAAAATGAGGTTCTCTGACCTGCTGTTGCCTTTCAAGTAGCCATAAAATCATTTCCACTATATGAGAACTCGATCAGGATAAGCTGAGTTCCTGAGCACAGTCAGGCAGAAGGCACATCGAAAAAATGGACTTTAAAAAAACGACACTGTATCTATGCACCCATGGCACTGAAAATAACCGTTTCTTGCTATCTTTTTTACTAACATTTTTATTGCAGCTTTCACTGTCAGGCATCTGGTGAGTTGCAAATGGATTCAAACTATTTCCTCGACGCGCGTTTACTTCGTATAGCTGGTTAAACTACGTCATGATTTAAGTAGTTAGGCCTAAATGAAGAATATTTTATGTGAATTTTTAAAAACTTCTCCTGTTGAATGAGTTGTAATGTATTCCTTAATCGATTGTCTTAGAGTGCATTTCGTTACTGTAGTCGATCATTTAAGGAGACTGGCAATTAAGATGTGCGTTTGGGCAGAACACAGACAGATCCTGGCGGAGCGTATTATGGCATCCTTCTATAAGAGAAGTCCTTTCTTTTGTCACATATTAGGTGCAAGGCCAGTATGACTGTCCAATAGGCTGCCATACATATTTTATTAGCTTAATTAACCAGAGATTCGATCTTACCTATGCCCCAGTTTGTCCTGTTACCACACTTCTACGTCCAACAATGTCTTAATTTTAACTTATACCCTAAAATGAGTTACTATTTTAGTCGATTATATTAGCAATTATGTAAATAATATGCGTGTATTTAAATTCTTTTTTGTTTTTACATTTATGCATAGGCCTACTCTACAGAGCGTAGGCCGACATTGTAATTTTCTCGTAGAGATTAATACTCACGTTTAACTAATCATTTGTGTAAGTATAGGCAAACGAGCAAAAATCACGTTTGCTATTTTTATTCTGCTAGCTGAATTGACAGTTATATTAAATTATTTAGTCGCAAGTTTAATATTTATTTATTCATTAATTACTTCCTACCAAGAGCTCCCGTTAAATATACTTCGACTTTCGATCAAACTTTCATGCCACTATTTAGACTCCCTAAAATATAAATGATTTGCTCTGAATGTTTCATGAATAATCGGAGTACATGGATGTGCGGCTGGATGCCGATGTTCGCTCCTGTGACTAACGCTCACGTTCAGATGTTTGATTTGATGTCCGTATTCTGCGCGGTTTTCCGTCCTTTTCCATTTTTGATACTTTTGTTTAATTTGCCTAATTCGCTTCTCTTCCATCATTTACCATTATTACACGTTTTATGTTTGTGGTCATTAAAGTTCATGATGGTATATTCCAACATCTTATAGCTCTTCTAATAGGCATGACGAAATCGGCAACATTTCTCCCAGTTTTACTGTAATGTTACTGGTTACTGTTAAAGGCTACTGGTGTCATCTTTTGTGCGTTTCAAGTTTCTGAGTACAATTTTACTGACTCATGACATCGCCGATGATCGCACTCGTTCATACTGAAGGTCCACACTGAATAATGATTTAATCTTATTATCGTTGCATGTAATATATGATCATATATCATATATTTGTTGCATGTAAAAGTCATTGATAATAGTGAATACTCACCGTCATTAATAAAGGGATAAATTACTACTACTCATACTACTGATGATGTTTTGTTTTATTATTTATTATTATTTCGTTATAATTTATGCACTACAAGATCTATATAGGTAGAACATAAATCAAAATTATATTGCAGGTTTAATGAGCTACACATGAATTATACAATTGGATGACTTATTTAATGTATTCATGTAATTTAAAATATACATACAAAAGCACTAAAAGTATTATGAGATGTTGCAGTGTTCTAGTTCATCTCTCGAGTTTCCCTAACTTTTTTCTCTTAGGCGTTGGGTTGTGCGCTTGCGCAGAGCTGACTATCCTACTCCCCTTGTACAGGTTGAAAAATGAGCACAGGGGCCGGTAGAGGGAAACGCATCCAGTGTGACGCTGTCATTGGAAATAGCTCACATCGTCAGCGGCAAGCCAGGGAGCAGATCAAGGCTGCGTCAGGGCCACGTATACCTGCAAGGTGTCTGACACCAAAATGATCACTATGAACGGCAAGCAGCATTTCTCCATGCACCCGGCGCTACAGGAGCCCAAGTACTCTGCCATTCACTCGAATTCGGAAGCCATGCGTAGGGTGTGTCTTTCGACTCCACAGGTATGTATGTATTTGATAAATATACACATTACCAAAAGTAAACTCGCTTTTAAAGGGGGTAAACTCCCCGCGGGACATTGAAAAGTCAACCGATACTGTCTTCCATGTGAATATAATGCTTTTTAGGCTTTAAATATCTTAAACGGATAGGATTTCCCAGTAATTCCAATGTTTTCCTGCTTGCAGCTGCAGGGCAATTTATTTGGAGGCTTCGATGAGAGTCTGCTAAACCGGCCCGAAGCGCTGGCGGCCGTTGACATAGTATCCCACGGCAAGAACCATCCGTTCAAGCCAGACGTGACCTACCACACCATGAGCCGAATGCCCTGTACATCCACACCCTCCACGGTACCGATATCCCATCCATCCACACTGACCTCAACACATCACCACCTCCATCAAAGTTTGGAAGGGGATCTTCTGGACCACATCTCCTCGACCCTAGCTGTCAACGGGATGGGGGCCCAGGACCATACTGTGATGTCATCACAAGTCCATCAGCATCATCTCCAAGCCATGGGTCACCTACACCAGAGCATGGGACACCCACACTCCCTGTCAGCGCACGGTGGGATGCCGAGCTTTAGCGATGTGCAATCCGATCCCCGTGAACTAGAATCGTTTGCCGAAAGGTTTAAGCAGAGGAGGATAAAGCTGGGGGTCACCCAGGCAGACGTCGGCTCGGCCCTTGCAAACCTGAAGATACCCGGAGTCGGGTCGCTTAGCCAGAGCACAATATGCAGGTTCGAGTCTTTAACGCTCAGTCACAATAACATGATCGCCCTGAAGCCAGTCCTCCAAGCGTGGCTGGAGGAGGCCGAGACAGCATACCGGGAGAAGAACAGCAAACCAGAACTTTTTAATTGCAACGAGCGGAAACGAAAACGCACCTCGATAGCCGCGCCGGAAAAGCGCTCCTTGGAAGCGTATTTCGCAATCCAGCCTCGGCCTTCTTCGGAAAAAATCGCGGCGATCGCGGAGAAGCTGGATTTGAAAAAGAATGTGGTTCGTGTTTGGTTTTGTAACCAAAGGCAGAAACAAAAAAGAATGAAATATTCAGCGGGCCATTAAATTTTAACAAAACAGCTGTAGATGTATCGAGGATTTGCAATTAAAGCTTTCGAAGAACTCTTTTATTAGAATGGATTTTGGTTGAATTATATTTTGTCTGTATTGTTTCCCTCAGGTTATGGACATACATTTATTTAAGTGAATAATTTAAAAAATGTATCATGCACTAACAAACTACTCGTCACTTTAAGGAAGGTCGTTGAAGTGAAGCTACTTTTATATGTGTATCGCATACAGATTTATTGCATCAGAATGAACTAAATGCATCTTTTCTGTTCATAACTCGACTGAAAGCTAATACCAAAGAAATATAGAAAACTGTTTAAACTATATATAAAGTTATATAACATAATATGAAATGGTTTAACTTTATAAACGCAACAACTGAAATACTTTAACTGTTTTACTGAAATGTGCAACAGAGATGATTTAACAGTTGCGATTTGTTTACTTGAATGGGAAGCCATTCTAAAGAATGCGAAGAATGTTATGTAATTAGTCTTCATTTTAGTCAATGTGTGCATTTTCAGCGTTGCTTAATAAATTTCACTTTGAACTTCATGCACTATATTTCCATTAATTGCACTGTTGATGCAAACCCCTTCAGTTTTGTGGAAGGTTGTTTAATAATATGGCATATCAAATTATAATCATTTAAGGAGACGGTGACATTCACAGAATGTACCTGAATCTAGTGCAATCTCATAGAAACACTAATCCACACTTCTATTAGCCATCAGCCCTGGATATTTCATTTTAACGCAGGAATTTTTTGTCTTATGTTTGCATCTGGTGGAAAAACTGAAACATTTATAACCATGATCCCCTCTCTTATAGTAATACACGGTCTGGCAATTTCCCTGGTAGATAACGTATAACCTACATGCATTTTACGCATATACAACTCCAGAGTTTTTCTGTATTTCCTTTTAAAATGCAGAACAAAACACCCACACTCTGAGAGCTGAATTCTATTCTCTCATCAAACAATAGTACAGTAGATATTTTTATATGCATATATTATAATGTTATAGGTTTTGCGTGAAGTTTGTTGCAAACAAAAGTTCACCTTATAAAAGGTTTTAATTCAATGATTAATGACCGATGAAAACTTTAATGTGTGGTCTGGAGCAGACAGTTTACCAGGAGTTTGGAGTTAGACTGGTTTTGGTTAAAATACAGTGCAATGACCAGTAATAATGGTACGTCGAACAGGGCAATTTTAAATATCTTTCGCATCCTACTGTACTTCCTTCCGGACAGTACGGAAGAGGTAAGACAGTGGAGATCACACAATGGTAAGGACAGTATGAGTGAAGTCTTTCCGAGGAGAAAGACCAGCGTGAGTTATTGATACTTATTACACGGCTCTCTGGAATGCTTGATTCTGATTGGTCAGTTGAGACATTTGCAGGTTCGTTCTTTTCAAATAATGACCGCTCCAAAGTAATAACGCATAGCCGGTACTACTTGTATGTTTAAAATCAGTCCGCGCCAACAAAGATTATCGTTTAAAAATGTTAATTTAAAACAAATATGCCAATAAAATGTTTCAAATTTATATTCATGTCCAGTTTTTTCCTTATGTGGCAAGTAGCCGTGTAATAAGCGGGATAATGTACAGGCAGCCGGTAGTTATCGCGAAATAAGCCCCTTCAGTGTGATACAAGACCCTCCGCTTCGCGTCGGGTCCTGATCACACTGTCGGGGCTTATTTCTGCGATAACTACCGGCTGCCTGTACATTATCCCTTACATATGATACCCATATTGATGTTGTAAAACACTTGCTTCTAGGTAAGTCGAGATGAAGTTTAGCGCAGGGAGAGACCATGTGGACAGTGAGAACAGATCAATTATTCATACCTGACTGAAGATATTACTTTTTCACATGCAACTGGTGAAATGCATACTTCAGCACATGAACTACAATCCTTATATAATGCGGTTTGTGTAACATATTATAGGTAGTTGGCTTAGGGAAGATCTTGTTGGAACCTTTAACAGGCAACAAACTATGTTTGGGGACAGAGTGTGGCTCAGTGGGTCAGAATCCTATGCTTGTCATCAGAAGGTTGTCAGTTCAAATCACATAGGTCTGCCAAATAATTTTACTATTGAGCAAGGCTCTAATCCCCCAGTTGCTCCAGGGACTGGTTGACCTCGCCTTCTCATACTGTATGTACGTCACTTTGGACAGGAGCTTTGGTTAAATAAATAGAACGTAAATACAAATTCTAAGAATGTAAAATGGGCTTGGATCACATGTTGGACTTGTGATTTGAACTTTGATACATCACCTTTACATCCATCCATCTTCCAAACACCCATCCTGGTCAGCTTCATGGTGGTACCCTAGATCTCATGCTAGTTAATTCAAACTAGTTTATATAACATACAACCAGGGCTGGATTTTGCATGAATTCCTGAACTGGTTTGGAAGTAAGAATCCCTACAGGTGTTTACATAGCAAACTTTGCTTGAGATGTTTGTTACTTCCCAGCTGAACGGGGATTGGGTGTCATGTGTGGATCACAGTGTGGCCAGTTTGCCACCTCCTTCTTCCTTTTCGGACAGGATAGGCGGTCAAGCATCGGAAGTCACTGGGAGTTACGGGAAGAACGGCAAAGCTGAGACACCTTTAATTATTCATTGAGAGCCAGCAACAAACGGCGTGACTGTAACCAGTACGGGGGCAGTCCGTAGCTCTCGGCATTTTGTCATGCTGTCCTGCTATCATTAAAAAGGCTGCCGCTTCAGCATTAACCTGAAGCTCACCTTTGCCCAGCAACTCATCACTGTGGTGTGGTTTCTGGCAAAAGTAACTGAAATGATTTTAAGGAAATTGCCTTGTTATGGCCATACAGTGTACAGCTATATATATATATATATATATATATATATATATATATATATATATATATGTATGTATTTTTTTTATTTTAAATAACTTTTAAAAAATTTCTTTGCTGCTAATGCCACGCAAAAATGTTAATTTTTACATAATGAACTTCCAATTTGTCACTTGAATCATCTCTGTTCTCTATTACACGTATCACACACAATTCAGTCACCGTCAGTTGTAAGGCAAAAGATAATGTCACAGAAATGAATGACGGCAATAATAACCTTCTGAAAATATTTTGTGGACTGTGAAAAAAAGAAAATGATAGGTTTGCAAATTTATTTATCCATCCATCCATTTTCTGTAACCGCTTGTCCTATTCAGGGTTGGGGGGGAGGGGTGGTCCAGAACCTATGGGCACAAGGCAGGGTACAACCCATGATGGGGCGCCAACCCATCACAGGGCATAAAGCAGGGAACAACCCAGGATGGGGCACCAACCCATCACAGGGCACAAGGCAGGGAACAACCCAGGATGGGGCACCAACCCATCGCAGGGCACAAGGCAGGGAACAACCCAGGATGGGGCACCAACCCATCACAGGGCACACACACACCATTCATACCTATGAGAAATTTGGTAACTCCAGTTTACCTCAGTATGTTTTTTTTTTTTTGGGGGGGGGGTACAGAACAAAATCATGGAATAATTTGTTACTCACAAATCTGGAAACATCTTTACAAAAATTTCTGGCATTAATATTTAAGACTTTTAAACATCTCGTTATGTTAGCAGGGTAGATTTTACGTACTGTAGTACTGTAAAGGCCATTAGCAGCACCTGATGATGGTAAGATGCTCAGATGGTCTATGGACCCAAAGAGCAGCTGGAGAATCACACAAACAGGCGGCTAATATGTTACCCGCTCTGTTGGAGCAAGGTGCAGTTTACACTCTGTTTATTTTGGAGCTGTCAAATAGGAACACAGACTTAACAGCACCTCAGCATTCACCTGGACACCACCTTAAGAGATGCCACGAAACAGGCATTTCGTTAGTCCAATAGAATTAATACCAGTGATCATTCAGGCTGACTATTCTATGTATCCATAAGGCTTTCACAGAAACAAGATCTTTATGTGCAGATTATTTGTATCCTCAATGTGAGACCATGCCCACCTTGATAAGTAAAATATTTAATTTATGTCATATTTGTATATCTTTGCCAATTCTATTTTGGAAACACATAAAAAATGTTCGGAGTGCCTTCATGAAGTACACATCTGAGGAAATGAGAGAGAAACGGTGCAGTGTTGGAGTGTGAAGACAATCCAGATCTTTATATTTTAGTGTTTCCATTGTTTTTTGTTTTTTTAATCTTTCGTGGAGTATCTATCCATAGGGAAGTGGTCCAGATCCTGGGCTGCATCTGCGTCTGCGGACGGAAGTGGGGCGTGACCTGCGCGTCTCGTGCGGCCGAGAAGCGTCCGCGCGACTGACTCCGCTCCGGAAAGGAGATGCGCTTCTATTTAAATGGCAATATCCTCATTTTCCATCCTCATAATCTGCTAAAATAGTTTCTGTAAAAGCCGAGGATTGCGTTGTTAAGCTGGCGGATGTCTAGCTGCGCGGTTAGCACAATCAGCTAGTTAGCCACATTGCGTTGAAGGTTCTGACATCGTCAAAAGCTGCTTTCAGAAAATGCCGGTAAGGTTTTATTTTGCTGTTAATATTATTTCCCGAATAATAGCTAATCAACTAATTGAGTAATATCGGCGCTGTAGCTTTGTGTTGTTACTTTTGCATTTATGGAGTGATAATTAGCTAGCTGGCTAGCCGATGTTGCCGTTTGTTTTTGACGATCTGGTTGGTACTTATTGTCAGGAAATTAAGCGATTTATTTACATTATATGCAATGGTATATATCAATTTATACAGTAAAGATGAGAGTCTAAGCACAAGGTAGCAAACCTTTGCATGGATATTTTGTAAGGTAATGCGTAGTGTTATGCAGATCTTAATTGTTAGCTCCCTAGGCAGCGGTCGGTAAAATATTACCATAGTATTTTATTTAACTTGCAATGCACGGATCAAATCGGTCTTTAATCATTGCATTAACGCACATATAGAGCTGTTTTATTTGTATAATCCCATGTATCTTTGATCGTGCTGATTTTGTGTGTTGCTGGTAGGCTTATTGTCTTGGCCGTAAGGTGCACACTGTACAGATTGCTATTTCGGCAGCAACAGATAGGTGGATCATTTTCATATTTGTCCTTGGGAAACCCGTTTCCCTAAATAACAGCGAATGTATTACGTGTACAACGATGAATCTAACCAAGAATTTTATGGTTTACAGATAAGACAAATTGCAGGAGATTAAACGTAAATATTAAGTCACTTTTAAATCTCACGTCCACTGAAGAACAGCCAACATTCTTGTTTTCACAGAGCAGTACGCTGGACAGACCCGAAAAGTCGGAGATCAACGACAACGTCAAGGTGGTGGTAAGATGCCGGCCCCTGAACCACAAGGAGAAGAACACGGGGTGCAAGCAGGCGGTCATCGTGGACGAGATGCGCGGAACTATAACGGTCAGCAAGCTGGACGCCCCCGGCGAGCCCCCCAAGACCTTCACCTTCGACACGGTCTTCGGGCCGGACAGCAAACAGCTAGATGTTTACAATCTGACGGCTCGACCCATCATCGAATCCGTCCTGGAAGGATACAATGGTGAGTGATCTAGTTGTCTGCCCTTGCGTAGTTTTAAAAAAATAAAGACAATAAAATAAGTTACAGAGGATTAATTAAACAAACGTCATATCGGAGCACAGAAAAGAAGCACAACAAAAGATTACTTAAGTAGAAATACATTATCCTATGCTGTATTATTATCTGATGACATCATCCATTGTTGTATTATTTTCTGCTTACATCATTCTGTATTGTATTGCTGGACAAAGAAACTCCCCTCTACAGGGATCAATAAAGTTCTGTCTTATTTTAACATGCATGACCTGAAGGTCTTTTCTGCTATAACATGAACATGAAAGTGAAAACGTGGCTGTCGGGTTTGGTCTAAATCTATGCTGCTTTTTTCTTTAGGGACGATATTCGCTTATGGTCAAACGGGAACAGGGAAGACCTTCACTATGGAGGGGGTCAGGGCAGTTCCGGAATTGAGGGGGATCATACCAAACTCGTTTGCTCATATCTTTGGCCACATTGCAAAGGCAGAAGGTGACACAAGGTACAGTATGATGTGTCTGAGTGGGCCTACAGGTGAAATGTTCTGCCACCATGTTAGAATTAAACTTTCACTACTGTGTTTGGTAGCTGTGTGTTTAAGGACATAAACTTTTAACCAGAAGGTCGCTAGTTCAGCACCCCAGAGTATTCCCGCTGTAGTACTTTTGGACAACCAGTAAGATACCCAGTTACAGAAAGTTTTAAGTTTTTAGATGCTTCACATCAAAGCATCAAGTCAGCAACCCAATGTAGGAGAAAAATACAGTAACACTTTACTTAAAGCAGTCACATGATAGATACCTTCATAATGCATTATAATGCATTCATAAAGTATTATAAAAGTGGCTATTACTATTTATAAAAAGGCATAACACATTATAGTCATGTTTATTATGCATTATGAATGCTGTCATCAATAATGCACTTTAAAAACCTTCACCGCGCATTATACTGACCATTATAATTCATTATGAAAGTATCTCTAGTGCATTATAGATGAGAGCTTCATAGAGCATTCATAATGCATAATAAACATGGCTGCAGTCTGTTATGCATTTTTATAAATACAGCCATGTTTGTAATACTTTATGAATGCATTATAATGCATTATGAAGGTATCTATAATGCAGTTATACGAATGCTTTCAGTAAAGTGTTACCAAAAAGAGTTTTTGTTAGAGTTCAGCAGCCAGTGCAGTATTTATTCCTGTCTGTCACTGGGTTGTTTGAATTATAAGGTAGATTACGTATGAAAGTGGGCAGATAGTGAAAAATATGATGTGTTATCAGGTTCTTGGTTCGTGTCTCATATCTGGAGATCTACAATGAAGAAGTACGGGACTTGCTGGGCAAGGATCAAAACCAGCGGCTGGAGGTGAGTGCAGTGGGCTTGTATGCTCTTGAAGATATAACTGTAAGAATTACGAACTGTTAAAGTGGCTTGAATGCACAGAATGGTAACAATGGATTTGGCTTGGGAGCTAACAAATTGCTGTCAAGAAATACTTTGTATCTTGTGTAGATGGTATTACATCAGTGTTTTCCAACCCAGTCCTTGGGGACCCATAGTCGGTCCACATTTTGGCTCCCTCCGATCAAAAACATGGACTGAAACACTATATTACAGAAGAATAGATCACGTGATGACCAGTTGTAGCTTAGAATGTTCTAGAATACTTAATCATTGTCTGTCGATGACGACAGGAAATGGTCAGCTCGGAGTATGGAAAGCCTTACCTGCTTTAGCGTGCAGCAAACTTGGCAAAAACAAATGTACGATAAAATTCGTTACTATTCAGCTCTTGAGGTGTTTGCTCAATCAGAGTCATTGTGTGACCTCTGTACATGTTCTTTGTGTTTGGTAAAACCAGGTAAAAGAGCGACCTGATGTGGGGGTTTACATTAAGGACCTCTCGGGCTATGTGGTCAACAATGCGGACGATATGGATCGGATAATGACTTTGGGCCACAAAAACCGTAAGCACTCCTCAGCCAGTACTGTCTTACAGACACAGACTGCCCATTGAAACCTCCTCCTTAAGGAAAATTCATTTATTGGCTGCTAATGCTGAACAGAGTGCTTGAGCAACTGTTGAATTTTCAGCTTCAACCTGTTTAGTGTAATATGCAGAATACTCATTTATATTGGATCTGTAAAATGGCTACCGTTATTTAATGTCTGTTATGTCATGAGCCTATGCCAGTATTACAATGTGCACTTTCGCCAAAATTGTGGAAACACTTAACACTTTTGGCTTCACACTTTAAGAAATTCTATGCAAATATTGGCAGTAATGTTTAGAAACAATCAAAGATTGTTTACAAATATCATACACTGGACGATGAAGTAACTGGAATACAGTTCTGCAATCTCTGAGAACTGGACGCAATTCCCCAGTTTTGGCCACTAGTGTATTACATCTACATATTTTGATATGTACAGTACCTGTTGTAATGCCACTCTATCTGTTTGTCTGTCTAAACTTTAGCTGCTCATCTTTATCAATAGATAAAATTAAATAAAAAGTTTAAATAAAATATGACTGCCCCATGATCCATCGAGGCAGGAACCCTCCCTAATCTCCTACTTACACGTTGCTCATTTTCTCTTCCTCCAGGGTCGGTGGGCGCGACGAACATGAACGAACACAGCTCCCGCTCCCACGCCATCTTCACCATCACCATCGAGTGCAGTGAGAAGGGCTTGGATGGTGACCAGCATGTCCGCATGGGCAAGCTGCACCTGGTGGACCTGGCTGTGAGTCCGCAGAAAGCCGTCGCCTCCACTTCCACTCCGGAAGCGCTCCGTTAGGCAGACTGATGACACCAACTCGGCCATTGCTGGTGTTTCACCTTGACCGGCTGTCATCCTAGGGCTCACCTTTCTCTACGCCCTGTGCTTCCTGGGACGGGTTCCAAGCTGCGACCATTTATTATATAAACAGCTAAAAATAATACATATCGACGCGATGATGTTCCACCGCTGTTGATGTCCAATCCAGGAGGCGCGTGAGATTTTAACCTTTACTAGTCTGTCGAGAGTCAAAATGTCTTTATTGTGGTCTTCAGGTGTTGGATCTATGGGTCCTACGCCATGATGAAATCACAATCTGTTTGGTCATATTGCATATGAAAGACATATACAGTGATCCCCCGCTATATCGCGGTTCAGTTCTCGCGCCCCCGCTATATCGCGGATTTTTCCCCAGCGCATCACAGTTATCTGCGATGTGCGTGTTTATATATACCTATACATTACATATTATTATTATTATTATTATTATTATTATTTTGTATAAGTGGGCAATAATGTACATGCAACATTGCTTAATCGGTTTTTTTTTTTGTATAGAGTAGAATTTGCCAATCCGGTCCGCGGGGACCCAAAGTCAGTCCATATTTTTGCTCCCTCGCAGCTCCCAGAAATGTAGACCGTGTGATGGTCCCCAAGAACCGGATTGGGAAACGCTGGCATGGAGTATCAGTGCTCATAATGTCGCCGCCTGCCCGGAGGGGAGGGCAGAGCTGTTGGTGGCTACAGAGATCCGCTGCCTTTGTTCCCAGGGCTCCGAGAGGCAGGGAAAGACGGGGGCCACGGGCCAGCGACTGAAGGAGGCCACCAAGATCAACCTGTCCCTGTCTACCCTGGGCAACGTGATCTCGGCGCTGGTGGACGGCAAGAGCACACACGTGCCGTACAGGAACTCCAAGCTGACCCGCCTGCTTCAGGACTCGCTGGGGGGGAACTCCAAAACCATGATGGTACCCGCAGATACCAGAGACATTATACACCTCCTTACTGAACCACTGCCCCCATTTTATGCCTCCTGATATAGTTCCCGGGTTTACTGTGACCCTACGATGGATGAATGTATGGATGGACTGATCGACGGATGTTGGCCTTAGGGATGAATGGATGAAACAGAGTTTTCCTTTACTTTGACGTTTCCTTTTTTCCCCTCATAACCCGCTTCATGTGTCAGTGTAAATGCTTGGTTTTCTGATTAACTTAATTTTATTATCCCAATTTTATCAATTTATTATACCTACCATAAATTAACCCATGGTGAGATTCGCTCATTTTTTTTTCTTGCCATTGTAGTTGACATAATGTCCGTTAACGACGGTGCAACGGTGTCATTTTCACGGCAGTGCGCAAACATTGGGCCGGCGGACTACAATTACGACGAGACCATCAGCACGCTGCGCTACGCCAACCGGGCCAAAAACATCAAGAACAAGGCCAGGATTAACGAAGACCCCAAGGACGCTCTGCTGCGAGAGTTCCAGAAGGAGATCGAAGAGCTGAGGAAGAAACTCGAGGAAGGTACCTGCTTACTGGTCCACTACAAGCTTACTGGTCCACTACATCTTACGTGGGAATTTTTGCTTCCAGTCTATTAATTAATATCAATTAATGACTTCTGGTGCTTTTCCACTGGCATACAGGAACTGAGCCGAACCGGAACCGTACCGCAAAGAGAGACTGGTTACAGTGCCTTTCCAGTTCGTTTTGGTTTTCCACTGCTTAAGGTTCGGCCTGTTTAAAGGCCTTGCCGGTTTTGGAGAGCGGCAGTGGCATAAAACCGAAGAGACACTTATTTAATGCTCTTGATTTGCTATGAGCAAATTTCTTAATTTTCCGGCACATCTGTGAGAAATGGGCATCTTATGTTGGCATCAAACGTTAGCGGAATTAGCATTGGTTTACGTAAAAATTAAAAATGCGTAAATTCCATTCTGCTTTATAATATTTTTTTAAGTAGGTGATTGGAAATTTTCAAGTTCCAAGTTATTGGGAATGCTTCCATACATATGAGATACTACTGATAATGAATGATAAATGGAATATGCTGTTTTTCTTTCAGATAATCCATGCATATCTATGTAGATCACTGGTATCTCTGTGCATTTCGACCAATCAGATACTGGTGACGCAACCATCTTATTTTGGTTGTGCTTTCCACCCTGATAGTAAGCAGCGTCATGTCAGCTGGGTACAACTTGGTGCGGCTCACAAACTTTACCGTGGAAATCCGTCAGTTCGTCGTGGGGCATGGTTCTTGGTGGCAGTGGGAAAGCGGCATTATTATACGATTGCCCTACTGAACTCTCAACCCTTATTGTTCAGGAAGGTGCTGATTAATCTTCTAGAATCGCCGGTCAGGCGATTCACAATACAAGTCAATACGCGATTATAACTCTTTTAATTCTAACGTGCGATACTTAAAATTCCAGACACCGGACGCGATTTAAAATTAATGGCAACTAAATGGAAATGTTTAATCCTTGGCAGAAGAACGTCGTTCTGCTACTAAATGCATTTTTTGACTCCTAAGCGTGAAGATAATATCTTTAGGTACAGATATATAAGCCAAATGTGCAGTAACTGCTTTAAGAGGACTAATGCATTCCGAACAGAGCATCAGGCTGTTCTTCACATCTGCAGCTACGTATGATATATGCTTGCCTTACATATATGAGGCTCGGGGTGTGATATCTTCTACTATCTTTCAGTCTGTTAGATGTATAGGAAGAGATGTGTTACATTTGCTATATTTAGCTCGAATGTGTATAATGATGTCTGTAAGGGGAATCCAGGTTGGGATTGTTCTGGGCTGTTATCTGAGGCCTGGCTCTTGGAGATTATCACTTTCATGCTCGGCCAATCAGTGACTGCCGTCCCGACGGCTCCATAATCTCTCATCTGCCGTAGAAACCGATCACGTTACATGATGTCACTTTATGATCTCTTGACTTAGCCTGAATAATTAAAAAGCCGTGATGTATATGCAGCCTGCCGGGAAAGACGCCAGGAGGACGATAATGAAGATGACCGCCGGTGCAGAACCGTATGCGCATACGTGCATATGTGCATGCATAAAGCAATTTTGCGTCGGCGCATTTTCTGCTCTGCGTATCTGGAAGCCGTCGTCTGATGCGTTTATTCCTTCGGAGGACGTGAACTCGCTTTTAATGAAAATTTCCAGAATATGTTCTGTTACTCATGCCTTCATAATCAAAAACGGAAAGTTTGGTATGAAATGTGCGTAGAAAGGAAACCGTATGCTGTTCCTGCTACCCGCTGGCTGAATTTGCATGCCGTGTTTGGTGATTGTGTGAAAGATTAAATTGCATTACAGCCCTAAACCTTAGTCACACCATTCCTGGTTGCTTTTGCAATTCAGCAGTATCACTAAACCCCAGCAAATAATTTGGCTGTTTGCTAGCTTGTCAACATGTCGAACGTGTAACATTTTGCATGCATCGCTATAGCGTGGGTTAAGTTGGAAGATGTAAATGTCAGAAGAGGGTAATTGTAAATGGACTAAAATGTAAATGGGCTATGAAATATTTCCCCCGAGACACAGTAAATGGGAGATTAGTGTCACTAGTGCCATTTCAGATGCATTTGATGTGTAATGCAATGCATTCCCTACATTCCGAAAGCGTTTCCCTTACAGAGAATGCGTTGTCACGGATCGACAGCTGACTCCGTGTGTTTATGTTGATGTTTAGGGGAGGAAATTTCAGGATCCGAGGGCAGTGGGTCTGAGGAGATGGATGACGATGATGAAGAAGAGGGAGGAGAGAAGAGCCGAAAACGGCGAGGTACGAGCACCACCCCCCCCCCACCCCCCACCCCCCCCGAGAGCCTGGAACAGCGTATGGTACCTGCCCGTTCAATGTGCTTCTCAGTCTGACTCTGGACAGGACCACAGCTGACCGTAGGGGTTGTATTTATATTAACTTTATTTTATTGGTTTGAAATAGGAGGAGGCAGGGTACAAGTAGCTATAATAATAATCCTTTTATTTACCACATTAGCCCGTTAACACGCCTCGGCATTCATCTTTAAAGCTATAACTGACATGGGCTATTAATCTTCAGCCCAGCGTCTTCGCTCTTGAATGCCTTCATTTAGGAACGTTGTAAAATGTGAATTATGTATAGCAGGCTTGCAGGCAGAGTGGCATTTACGTTAATTTTCATTTATTTATTTAGCAGAGGCTTTTGTGAAAAGCGGCGAACGAGCAAGTCGTACGGCTCTTTACGAACCTGTGGACACGGGCCTGAGGTATCAAGGTTACGGCGAAGGTCCTCATTTAAAAAAGCCACTGATATCCAGCTATACAACTACATGTTGTTTTGCATAAAAGCAATAGCTAAATTAAAATTTTATATGTTAAATAATAATAAAAAAAATGTTAAAAATGATAAAAGCTTCATCCAGGACTGCTTTGTGGAAGCTGGTTATGTTTAACTGGATGAGAAATATGTATAGTGCTAAAATCACATTCTCCATCACCTGTTTCCTTAACTGGTAATTCACTGGAAAATAAGGTCAGATTTTGAGACGATTCTCTTTTTGGAAGAATAAAGTTGCTGAAAGGGTTTTCCCTGGTATCTGGCCGCTGCCCTGTGAGCGTGTCAGCGTGCCGTGTGACTGCGACCCCCCCCCCCTCTCTGGCTGGATGGATGGATGGATGGATGGATGGATGGGTGCACCAGCGCCTGATTCTCTCTCTCTCTGCAGGCAGTGTCAGCAGTAACTCAGACTCCACCTGTTTTGTTCAGAGCTCTGTGGGAAGGTCCCAGACTAGTGAGTGGGAATAGCTGTCTGGTCAGCCAACTCCTGCCCCCCCCCCTTTTTGTTTTATGATTCTCCTCGACCCCCCCGCTTTGGGCGTCATGTATGCACTCATGTCTCTCCTCTCAGGCCAAGGCTGCCCTCCTGATTTTGGCTGCTGGGTTTTTTTCCTTCTTTTAATTATCAAGTCATCTGACGCACAGCGCCCAAGCGAGATGCATGCGATTTCCGCTTGTCCCGCTCCCTCTGCATGCGTCTCATGCGATATTCTATCTTTTAAAAAAAAATAAAATAAAAAAATACTGGAAACCACTACTTTCTCAATAATAAAATGTAGATAGGAAAAGGATGCTGTGGTAATCGAACCCACATCTGAAAGTATCTTCTAGCTTGCAGTATGCTGACTCAAATCAGATAAGTGTCCTTTTTTGGGTTTCCTTAAATATCACCAATGTCATTTAAACGTCGTTAATGATAGAATACCACCTTAAGTGCCTCCTCAGCTGCTTCACCTTCTACATCCTGTGTTGTGCTGCGCTTTGTGACCACCACCCTGCCTTAACCTGCCACATCGTCTTTATCCTCCGACGCAAAATGCAGCCTCTGATGTATCAGTCTCTTGCCTTTATGCAAGAGCTAACAGGTCGGCTTGAGAATGACACTCTTCTGCAACGTGGATAGAATATTGGAATTTGCACCAAACTCGAAACAGGAAAAGGCTTTTGTTTAGTCGCTGTTAGCCCCTATTTAAATGCTTTTTTTTGTGTGTACATATGGATGTAAAAGAAAAATTCTCAAGAACGAGGTTTTGAGTCATTTCTTAACATTTCCTAAAGTGTGCCATGTGAAAATGCTTGTTCTGGTAGTTTCAGTTCAGACAGTCTCGTCTTTGTTGATACACCTTGCGGGTGACGTGGCAGCATGATGTCAGAAAAATACCAGCGTTACCTGGTAATATGAGTAACGGTGCCGGTATTTTTGTCATAAAAATGCCCCGTATTGTATTTTCACAGAGCAAAACGAGGCATGTTTATTTCAGGCAGGAAGAAGGTCTCGCCTGACAAAATGGTCGAGATGCAGGCAAAAATTGAAGAAGAGAGGAAGGCCTTGGAGGCCAAACTGGACATGGAAGAAGAAGAGAGGAACAAAGCCCGTGCAGAGTTGGAAAAGAGAGAGAAGGACTTACTGAAGGCCCAGTAAGATCCACCTTCCGGATGCTTCTCCCTTGACAATGCAGATTATAAATTCATTTGCCCCCATAAATATATCCACCGTTGCTGTTTTTAGGCAAGAGCACCAGATGCTATTGGAGAAGCTGTCGGGTTTGGAGAAGAAGGTGATCGTGGGAGGCGTGGACCTGCTGGCCAAGGCCGAGGAGCAAGAGAAGCTGCTGGAGGAGTCCAACAGGGAGCTGGAGGCGCGGCGCAGGCGGGCCGAGCAGCTGCGCAAGGAGCTGGAGGAGAAGGAGGTGAGGAGGCTGTAGGGAGCGAGCCTGGGCACAGGCCCACCTTACGTCTGTCACGGCCGCTCCTCTTATAATTTATCTCCTATCTCGGCCCATCAGCAAGAGCGCCTTGATATAGAGGAAAAATACACCAGTTTGCAAGAAGAGGCTCAAGGAAAAACCAAGAAGCTGAAGAAGGTGTGGACCATGCTGATGGCGGCCAAATCTGAGGTATAAGAACCTGAGATGGATGCAGATTCATTTGTGTATTTGTGTTACCAAGTAGTATTATACCGTAATCTCAAGTTTTAAACCCTTTTTAAAAAAATCCTTTATTTGTATACAATTGTTAGTAGCTAATATAAATATAATTTCTCTTACCACTGATTACATGGTTCATCTGGCTGTTCTGCCGGGGCTGGGGCTTGAACCAGTAACCTTACGATCACAGGCATGGAGACTTAGCCCGCTGAGCCACTTGCATGCCCAACAATGACAGCCAAAGTGTAGAGCCCCTTGACATATGGCTATCTGCTGAGGCCTGACAGGCGACGACCTGATCACAGGCATGGTACCATGGTTTGGGCTTCAGCTGGGGGAGGGGAGCCCCATGGGCATTAAGCTGTTCTGCTGGGGCTTGAACCAGTGACTCTCTGATCATGGGCACAGAGACTTAGCCCGCTGAGCCACTTGCTACACCCCTGTCCGTTGAGGTTTCAGTTATCTGGAGTTTACTATGGTCTGAAGGAAACATAATTACAAGTTAGCTTTGGGAATGACAGCCAGAATGCGTCTGCTGGGGCTTGAACCGGCGACCTTCTGATCACAGCTGCAGAAACCCACTGGCCCCAATGCCCCGTCGGTTTGTTACCCCTAGTTCACACATGGTGTGAAAAAACGAAAAGTGAAACACACAACTTCGTTGTTCCTCCTATGAGGTATAAAAAGCGTGATCTTCATTGCACCATCGCTTGCTACATATTTTTTCATTGCTCTATCGATTTCATGAGCATTAGGCTAAAATGTCACGATCCCTTTCATGAGTACAGCACTGTTCAGTGGGCTTTATTAGTAGTATAATGTTGGCGATGTTACTATGTGCAAGTACATAATCACATTATTTATGGCTTCTGAGGATGGGATATCTTGGGATGCATCACCTGCGGATACAGGGTCTACTATATTATGACTTTCCATATGAATACTTTGTCAAAGCCTTTTGATGACTGTTGACTTTGCTGGTATTAAGTTCCTTAGTCCCCACCCTAACTGCTGACTCATCAGTCACGGCACTGTACACGAAATACCCGTAATTTCATGCTATTTGATACTAGGGGGTTGTCCGGTGTTTGAGACAGGCAACCTGGACTTCTGCTGTATTGTGAAGAATGGTTAGCACTTCTGTGATGGTACATTTCCTGAACCCTACGGTGGCGGTCTGGACTCTCCTCGGATGCCGGCCCATTAGATGGCGGACCTGCAGCAAGAGCACCACCGGGAGATCGAGGGTCTTTTGGAGAACATCCGGCAGCTGAGCCGCGAGCTGAGGCTACAGATGCTCATCATCGATAGCTTCATCCCCCAAGAATATCAAGTGAGCGTCGCTGTTGGGGGTCTTCACAGGCAGTGATCTGGAACAGCTGTCTTAAATGTAGTCTCTATTGAACATATAGTACACGACATGTAAATTAAAAAAAAAAAGTGATGTTGTAAACTAGGGTTATTCAAATCATGGTCCTCGAGGTCCGAGCCCTGCTGGTTTTCCAGCCTTCCTTTACCTGTGAGCCAGGTGTGAAGCCTCTGACCAATCAGAATCAGTAATTATTAAACTAACTACCTGGGAGAACTGAAAACACGGCCTGGATTTGGAATCGAGGTCCAGATTTGAAGAACCCTGCTGTAAACGAAGGAAAACGACTTCAGATTTCCTGACAGTTGTATCTTTACAGGACATGATCGAGAACTACGTGCACTGGAATGAAGACATTGGAGAATGGCAATTGGTTTGTAGAATACTCCGTGTTTTAATGGAATTTCCCAAGAAATTTAAGTGTGTCCTGACAATGAATCATTTTGACAGTATCAGTATTAGTAGAGCGTAGAATATTGTTTTTTTTAGATCAACAGGAGATTTTCCATATTTAGTGCTTAGATCTTTTCTGACCGAACCTGCTTTTCTTTAGAAATGTGTGGCGTATACAGGAAATAACATGAGGAAACAGACTCCCGTTCCGGACAAGAAAGAAAAAGATGTAAGTTCTACATGTCTGTCTTTCACCGGTGTGTCACTTCCACACCTGAGAGTGAACACAGCCGTGAATGTATGTGGAAAGGGTGCGATTCAGACACAGGAGCAGACAGCTGCTGCTTATAGCTAACTGCTAACCAAAGTGTATATTCGACAAATCTAGAAAAGGCATCTGATGTGCTCCCTACCTACTTGAGACCTGTTTACAGAACCCACCCCGCCCCAACAGGGAAGGAAGAAATTTTTTGAAATACCCTACTAGTCGAGGGCCTTTAACATTTTTCGACTTGGGATAGTTTCATTATTATAAGAATTATCGATTCACCACGTTCAGACATCTTTGAAAATTCACCCCACTGTTCAACCAGGGTAATCTATTCATAGCTGAAGGTCCATGTTATCCCCTGCAGCCATTCGAAGTGGATCTGTCCCATGTCTACTTGGCCTACACAGAGGAGAGCATGAAGCAGTCCCTACTGAGGCTCGACAGGCCCAGAACCTCAAAGAGTGCAAGGTCCAAGCCCAAGTCCAGTAGGAGGTGTGTATGTCCTCTGCTGTACATGTCCGAGTTCTTTCACGGTATGAAATAAGTCCAACTAACTGATAAAATTTAATTTCAGGAAACGGTCTTCCAGACCAGAGTCCGTGATCGAGTCTCTCCTGCAGTGAACCCAAAACACTTGCTGACAACTCGATTTGCTACCGAAGATGCAAAGCTTTTTCCGGCTAATCTTTGTACAATATTAACACGCAATGCAATATGTCGCTGTTCCATTTGGAATATCACCTGAAGTCTTCGAGCGTTAAGTTTACAGAACATAATCCTACATGTATCAGTCATGTATACCTGTTTCCAGCAAAGTCCTGACAATGTTACACTTATATACTTCTACAATGTGCACAAAGTAATGGCAATAGATGCTATGATTTTACCCAGCCTCTGCAGATATGGCTCTTACTGTCCAAGTATAAAGCAGCTGTACTTCGGTTAGTGTCAAAGAAGCGTTTGATTTAATGTTAGTGCTGCTCAAACACGACAATAGACCGAAGCACCCGATTAAAAAGCCAATGGACAGATTTACTGCTGCTGTAGAACTTACAACTGAATGCCAACCTAGCAGCGCTAAATCCCACCTACTGATGGTCTGGTCTTAACGTTGCTCATCTGTGAATATTGTTTCGTTTCTGTGGCTCTTGCATGCGCCCTAATTTATTAAATTGTCATACGTTAAAAGTGTGTGGTGTCTGACTTCTTCGGTGCTACTTATTTCACTACAGCGAAGGTAAGTCTACTTCTTGGTTGACGGCCTTTTGAACATTTTGAAGAGTTAATATACATTTGAGTGTCAGCCCAAAAAGATGAAGGGAGGTGGGCGAGAATTCTACAAATGATCTTGCTGAAATCGGATTCGTAATTTGTGAGTGCTAACCACTAACTTGTCAAGAAAAAAAAAATCAGATTAACAGATTTCCTACTAAATGTTTAATTGGGAAGTATCATGGCCCACAAACCACAGAAGTGTCAGTCTGATTCTACAGATGTCTTGTACGTTTAAACATTGACTTAAGCAGAAGAGGAGGACTTTCCAGGAAGCAGGATTTCTCAGCTTAAGATAGGAGTCATGGTTGTCCAATCAGACCGCTTCTTACCTAAACTTGACTTCTATCTTAAATTAACTGAGCTAACTGAGAAATCCTGCTTCATGGAACATCCTCCTCTGCTGCTTAAGTCAATGTGGAAAACCACAACTTCAGACACCGATAACACCCAATACGTTTTCTCCAGCTAGCCCAGGCCCTACAGCCCGTTCCTCTTTGGCATTAATAGGCTTTGCACAGTTTCCTCAGTGCAAGTCGGAGCTCAACGAAGAGACACTGCACCTTGAGATCTCAGAGCACTGGTCGATGTTCTTCTTGATCCTGTAGAAATGCTCCACGTAGTTGGAGCGGCCTAGAAGCTCCACAAAGTCTTCGTCGTGGGTGATGATGAGCAGCTGGAAATTCCTCTGCCGGGATCGGCTCTTGATAATCCTGGAAGGTTGAAAATTGGCGGAGGGAGTTGAGTGGAAGGGTTCTCAAACCAGAATGCTTACTTTGGAGCAGAGTTCCCCGATTCCGGTCCTGGAGGGTCAGTCTGTGACACGGTTTGCAGATTTCCCTGCCCAAGCTAAACCTGGCAATTGGCTAGTGAGTTGAATAAGGTGTGTTTGAGCAGGGAAATCTGCAAACTGTGTTACAGACTGACCCTCCAGGACCGGAATCGGGAAACTCTGCTTTTGAGTATCATTTCTGGCTAAACAAAGCATGTGTTGAATGTATATTAGAGTCAATGTGGAAAGAGATATTCCGTACACACTCGCATAGGTGTTGCTGGGAGATTTTTTTGGGGTACTTACTCTACAAGGGCATGAGCGAGGGACTCGATGTTCTCACGGTCGAGGTTGGTTGTTGGCTCATCTAGAGCCAGGATGCCACAGTTTAGGCAGAACGTCTCTGCTAAGGCGAGGCGGATGATCAGGGAAGCCAGCACCTGGAGATGCAGTGACAGGATGACCCGCATTACTCAGAAAACCACGAAGCATGACATGGAACATTCCGGCTTTTCTCATCATCTTGGAAACATAACGGGGTATTGCTCATTACCTAGACCAGTTGTTCTCCGTGTTCTTGCAATGTGCTCAAATTAAACACCACGGTATCTAGGAACAGTGGAAACTTCGGAACAGATGCGAACAGAAGAGAAAGCGGCCCATACCTTCTGCCCGGCACTGCAGCGCCCCCTCATGTCCAGTGCGGTATCACCCTTCACCATCACCACACGGTAATTGTAGGTCCTCCTCTTTACAGCGGCTGAGGCGTTCTCATCCACATCAGAGCGGATCTCTATGTACTCAATATCTAAGGTGGGGAGGCACCAGCAGTAAATTAGCTTTGAGCCCTGAAACTCTGATATGGAAGGGGATGACTTTAGAATATTATAATGATGGATGATGACCAACGCATGACCCGTACAGACCTTGTCCGCGGTAAGTGCTGCGCCAGAGGTCTCGGATGATTTTATTGATCTCCTCCATCTTCATGCTGTGGAACTTCATTATGGTTCTGGGAGACAAGAGGGTGACCGTTCATGAGCACCTCACACGGACTCAACAAACGAAAACACATTCCACTTAAACGGGAAACCATCTGAAAGGCACAAAGGGGAGTCCATCCGATACACACAAGCCGGAGCACTGCTGCTACGGTGTGGCTGCGACCAGAAGGCCGCTGGTTCAAATCCCAAGGCTGGCAGTGACTACACTCTGTTTGCCTCTTGAGTGAGAGCCTTAATCCCCAATCGCTCCTTGGACTGTCTCAAAATTTATTTAGCATCTGCTAAATAGATTTATGCTTTATCTGTATATAAATTTATTTACAAACTCCCCCCTCCCCCTCAACAGGTAGGAGGAAATAAATTTAAAAAAAGAGACATCCTACTGGTCGAGGGCCTTGTAGTAGATGTCCAGGTCTTTGTTGGCCAGCTCCGTGGTTCGCATGACGATCATTTTGTCCCGGAAGCGTTCCTCGGCCTGCCCGTACTGATCCTCACGCAGCTCCTTGCGGAAGTGCAGGATCTCCTCCTCGAAGCCCTTCTGGCGCCCCACCGCCACGCTGCGGTTCTTCTTCAGGTCCTCCAGCCGCTGCTCCACCTCCCTGCGCTCCCTGCCGCACCGAGCCGAGACACCATGACGGCGCCGAACCAAGACCTCGTAACGACTGCGACTGTTTTACTACAGGTCCGGGGGCTCATCAGATCTGGCCCCCGATTCCAAATGCAGGCCTTGTTTTCAGTCCTCCCTGGCAGCTTAATAAATACCAATTCTGACTGGCCAGAGAGACATCACACGTGGCTCACAGGTAAAGGAAGGGTGGAAAATCAGCAGGGCTGAGACCTCGAGGACCATGACTTGAATAGCCCTGCTCTACTAGAGGCAATACAGCCATTCTCCTCTGTCTAGTTATAGTATTAGTTTGATTAGTTGACACTGATGTACGTCTCACTGACAACAATCTACATAAATCTATAAATAGGAGATAGGAAAGTCAACAAAATCAATTTTTAGCGATTGTTTTCTCAACAGACCCAAGCCAAGAAGTATTACTCAGCAGTAATGAAAGTATGTGACGTGTCTAATCAAGGCCACAGAAAAAGAATTAACTATAATTAAAACAAGGCCTCTTCAGTGGTGGCTGGAAGTGTCGCTTACTTCCGCAGCTGAAGGACTTTCATGTCTCCCATTTCCTTCACGAGTGCCGCGCGTTTCTCGGAAACCTCCAGCAGCTCCTCCATGCGCTTCCTCAATGTCAGGTTGTCCTGGAGCCAGCGTTCCTGGACCTACCGCAGAAGAGGATGAAAAGGGAACACACCAATGGAAACACTCGTCACTGGGTGCAGCGGACGGCACGATCCGCGTCCGTGCCGCGGGCTGAAGTGCCGGTGAAATCCGCGGCGAGTCGGCATGAAGACACGAGGCCACCTTCTGCGTGTCGATGTCCTGCCTGATGTTCCCGATGTCCTTATTGATCTTCTCGCGTTGCTTCTCGGCCTCATGGAGCTGGGTGGTGATCTCCTGCAGCTCTGCTTCTTTTTGCTGAAGACGGAAAACGCGACGTAACCTGATGGCCCACGATCACTGTCAACGCGAAAGGCCAACGCTTCAGGCATTAGTTACCTCCTTGTACTCATCTTTCCCATCCCTGATGTAGCTCTGAATCTCCTTCTCGTGAAGGGTGATGTTCTTTACTTTCTCTTTGATGCCATTTATCTGCAGGGAGGTAAAAGCAAAATACAATTATGTCTGAGAAAAGAAAGAAATGGAAAAAAACACCATCAACCACAACGGAGAAATTATTCAATGCTGCAGGGACTGTCAAAATATTGCAACCAAATCGGCCCTCAGCTGACACCGAATAACTGAATATAGTCACATCTCCGCTGAGCCCTAAACCCCCAAAATACTGCGGCGGCCGCTCGATGAATAGCTGACTCTGTGCTCAGATCCCAAACTTTGCTCTTGGATATGTATAAACAGCTCTGGAAAAAATTAAGAGATCACAGCAAAATGTTTTACTTCACTCATTTCTCAATTTATGGGTGTATGTCTGTGAAAAATATACATATATTTTTTTTGCAAACTGCAGCCTGGTTCTTCCCTGTTTCTCATTACTGAAGGGCGTCTTCCTTGCTTTAAGGAACTTCAGTCCTGCTTCTAGGAGCCTGATACGAACTGTCCTAGCAGTGTACTTCACACCTGCACTTAATGTTTCCCATTCCCTTTGAAGGTCACTTGATGTCATCCTCCGATTCATGAGAAACTGTCAGATAAGTTGACTGCCATCTCTGGCATTAGAACGTCACTTCCTCCCTTTGTAACAGTCTCTGGTCGATCCCAGTGTCTCCTGCTTCACCTTGTTCTTGTGTCCTGCTGTCTTAGAAATGTTGAACCTGGAAGCAACCTGCTGTTCAGTGTTGCATTCTGCCAGCAGAACCAGGATTAAAGCAGGATTTAAAATTGGAAATCATTTAAAATATACAGTGGTCTCAATTTTTTTCCCCAGAGCTGTGTGTGTATGTGGCTCGAAGGAGTGCATGATGGGATATGCAAAAAGCAGCATTTCAATGTATCTCTACTCATTTCATCATTTCATTTCATGGACAGTCAAAGGAGGAATAGCAGCCACGCGAGTCTAAGCCGCATCACGCTATGAAGCCGTTCACCTTCTCCTGCCCCTCTTGCATCATCTTCTTCCTGCGCTCAATCAGGTCCTGCTTCTCCTGCTGCAGCTTCTCCAGAGTCGTTGCCAGGGGCTGCACCTGTTCTTTGGCGTCCTGAAAGGCACACGGGGATAAGACCAGGCACTCAAATCTCCAGGCCACGTGACGCATTCTGACGGGGCCACGGAAGCCAGCGAGGTTTCCTCAGTACCCATGACAAGGGGGATTAATGCGAGTCGGAAGTGCGATAAACGGAATGGGAAAAATACTCTGGCACAGATGAAGAGCAGACACACTCCGGGCAGATTTGGAAGCCCGAGGACTCCAGTTAAGTTTAGGTGATTCCAGCTATAAAAAGGATATTCTACTGGTCAAGATTCAAGATTCAAGATTCAAGATTCTTTATTTGTCACATGTAGTTATAGCTGGTACAACATACAGTGAAATGTGTTTTCCTGGCTGAACTCCGACTGTGCTAGACG